GCCTCACATTCATCCTAATCATTTTGAAAAACATCTTCACTGCTTCATTTCCCTCATCCATCTCAAAATACCTCCTAACAATCACATTCCACGAGACATCGTTCGGATTATCAATCTCATCGAACATCCTCCTCGCTTCACTTATCTTGCCACATTTCCCATATACATCCACGAGCGAGCTCTCCAAAATAACATTCCCACAAAACCCATATTTCACAACAAGCCCATGCACTTGCCCCGATAGCCACAGCTCCAACAAGGTGCCACATGACGCGAGGACGCTCGCAAAAGTAACCTCACTCGCAAAAACTCCTTCCCTCCTCATCCTTGAAAACAAACCTAGAGCTCCCTCCGCCTTCCCATTCTGTGAATACGCAGTAATCATTGAATTCCATGACCCACCATCTCTTTTAGGCATTTGGTCAAACAGTTCCTTGGCATCATCCAAACAGCCACACTTACCATAACCCTCTATTGCCCTATTAAGCAAAAAGATTGGTGGATTCGGATTCCACATGATTAGGTGAGATTCGAGTTTCCGTATCTCGACAATGGCTTTTTGTGAAACACAAATTTGAAAAAGGTGGGCGTAGAGAGAAAAAGGCAAGGCAACGGTGGAGGAGTAGAGAATGGAGACGGCTTTTGCGAGGCCACCGAAGCGGACATGATTAAGTATTACGGTAGTTAAGGCCTTGAGACTGGTGGGCGGTGGCGGGCTGCGGTGGCGGGTGTTGGCGCTGTCGAGGAGGCCGTGAAGTATAGAATGTGCACTCGTGCCACCCATGGAATAGGAGGCAGAGCTCGTTGTCGCTACAATATTGGTTTAATATAATTCCCCCAATTATGTGCGTGTTCAATTGTGCTTAAAATTCAATTAAAATTGAAAATATAATCGTTATTGGGTCTCACTCGTCTAATAAAAATCAACAATAACGGCTAATTTTTCAATTTTAATCCGATTTTAATCTCTATCGAACACGCCCTATATTTGTAAGTTCGTTTTTTATTAGGGTAAATTGCACCAGGGTCCCAAATCTTTCATACAAGGACACTGGGTGTCCCAAAACTTTAGTTTTGTGTTCGAAGTTTCAAATTTAAATTAAGGGAAAATTGCAGTCGTGTCCCCAAACCTTTGAACTTTTTGTAGACTTTATCTTAATCTTCAGTTTGTATCACCAGTGGTTCCAAACCTTTGAAAACTTAGCACCTGAAATCCAAATGGATGGATCATCCATTTGACCGTTAGTAGACTAAGAAAATATATTTTGACCAAATTTAAATATGACAAAAAGGTAAATTCCTTATTATTTCACATAACAGATTCCACCCATTTCATCTTTGTATCTGGGTTTGATTCAAATGAAGATTTTCATGTCAAGCAAGCATGTATACCACACACCACAGTGCAATCCCATTTCTAAACACACGCGCACACACCAAAAAAAAAAAAAATCTAAGTTTTCTCTCCGTTGACGTTTCCTTTCAAATCTCAACTTTACTTGCCTTTCAATCTTCATTTTTACCAAATCAACCACTTTAATTATTCATTTTCTTGATGAGTTTTTATTTATGAGTCTTGATTTGTTGTTTGTTTTGGATTATAATTGATCTAGGAGTGAAGATGGGTCGGGGGAGGTGGTGCCAATGGTGGGCACGATAACATCCGCGACGGAGATTGGGGCATCGTCGTTGACTTTTTTGGCGTGTTGGGGCGGTGGGTTGGGTTGGGGAAGATGAAATTGTTCATCGTCCTTTTACTTTCTTTTTTTAATTATTTTATGTTGAATAATGAGGAATTTATCATTTTGTCATATTTAAATTTGGTCAAAATATATTTTCTTGATCAACTAATGGTCAAATGGATGAAATTCATTCATTTGGACCCTAAGTACTAATTTTTCAAATGTTTGGAACCACTATTGGTACAAACTGAAAGTTAAGGTAAAGTCTGCAAAAAATTCTAAAGTTTGAGACAGACGCAAACTAGCGTCCCAAACTTTTCAATTTTTTTTTTCTGTTTTGTGTATGAAGTTCCAAACTTTAAATTAATATGCAGCTCTAGGTCCATTCAGCGATTTCCATCCTAAAGTCAGTTAATTGGCCAAAAAAGGATTAACCTTCATTTGATCAATGTAAAGGACAAAAGGGCATTTTTCCATATTATTTTATTTAAAATAAATAAAAGAGATAAATAAAGAAATAAGAAAAAAAAAATTAAAAACACAAAAAAACTTAAAAAAGAAAATTCTTCTTCCAGATTGTGTTATGTGTACACAATGATTTACACCCCCCTCACATGGAGGGGGGCCCGCACAATTAAAAAAGTGTGGGCCCCTCTTCATGTGAGAGTAGTGTAAACCATTGTGTACACCATTGAATGTACACATAGCTTAATTCTTCTTCTTCCTCACTCACTCATCCCCTATCTCCATCTTGGCACCACCCCACTAACCTGCAGAACTCTCCTAAGTTCGATTGTGAAACCAGATTCAGTGGTGGCAAGGTGGGTATTTGGGGTGGGGTGGGGTGGCGTGGGGGTGGTGGTGACCTATAACATTTTTTTCCTTTTCTATTTTTAATTAATATGTTACTTTTTTATCTCTTTTTTTATTATTTTAAATAAATATAATATGGAAAGACTCTTTTGCCCTTCCTTAAATTGATCAAATGAAGGTTTATCCTAATTATTTGGTCAACTAACAAGATGAAAATTGTTCAAAAGACTTGGAGCTACATAAATTTTGCAAATGGTATTCTTCCACTATTGCACTGAACCTGTTGTCAAGATGGTCCCACATTGTTACAGTCGGAGATCAAAACACAACATCATTCTTAAAGTAGTCATCACTATCAATATTCGAAAAGTAATAATCATAAGGTTTCAGTTCAAACGTAATGTGAAGTTAAAACACCGTTTA